GTCACAGCACTAATATTTTAAAAAATACAAAAAACTATTTAATCTATTTTTTTTCACCCCTATACCCAACACTCAGAAAATCTGTCAATTTATAATTGTCATACTGTAAATTAATAACATATAACGAGTTAATGTGTTGAATCATTTTTGAAATTGATTGATTTTAAAACCAAAATTAGGTTATAACTTTTTAAGATTAATTTAAAATCATAAGATGTCAACAGTAAACAAGATATTAAGAAAAATCTTTATGATAATGACTATGAAAATAAAAAACAGTTGTATATAATTCAATAGCTAGCTAACTTGTATTTGAGTTATATATCAGATTTTGAAGTGCCAGGCTTTTTGGGGTGTTAGATACCAAATGATTAACTATTATAGTGCAGCACTATATGATTGACCCACTATGTAAGATTTTTGAAATTTTGTCAAACAATTTATTGAAAAATTTTAACATAGTAATTTTATAATAAAAACTGTGTATTTTTAAAATGTTCTAACTCCTGTTCTAGCAAAGCAAATTCAATTCTGTAACCTGCATGTGATATATAAATTATGTGGTTTTAAAACTATGTTAAGACATTTTACAATTTATTTTATTAATGTAGCGAAAATTATGAATTAGTAAATTTTAACAATTATTTAAACGATTAAGTTATAGAGGCCTTCTAAATTACATATTAACATCAAATATGGCAACATAGTTTTAAAAGCATATTATTAATACACCATTCGCTTTTTACAGAATTCAATTCGCTTCACTGGAACAGAAGTTAGAACATTTTAAAGATGTAAATTTGCATTCTTTATACAAACCATTTGTCGATCCTAACAGTTTTTGGCCCGCATTATGATTAATTTGGGCCGAAAACTGTTAGGATTGACAAATGGTTCGTATAAAGAATGCAAATTTACATCTTTAAAATGTTCTAACTTCTGCTCTGGTAGAGCAAATTTAATTCTGTAAAAAGCGAATAGTGTATTAATAATATGCTTATAAAACTATATTGCCATATTTGATATTAATATGTAAGTTTTAGTAGCTCTCTATAACTTAATCATTTAAAAAACTGTTAAAATTTATTAATTTATGATTTTAGCCATATTAATAAAATAAAATAAAAAATATCTCAACATAGTTTTAAAAGCTTACTATTTATATATCATTTGCAAGTTACAGAATTGAAATTGTTTTACTAAAATGGGAGTTAGAATATTTTAAAAATGCACAGTTTTTTATTATAAAATTACTATGATAAATTTTCTCGATAAATTGACTGACAAAATTTTAAAAATCTTTAATAGTGGGCCAATCATATAGTGCTGAACTATGATAGTTAATCATTTGATATCTAACACCCTAATAATTGATATTCTTGAAGCATTACTGCCCAAAATATTTTGCTAACTAATCAAATTCTAAAATCAGGTGTAATGTAAAATAGAGCCTGATCGGATTAACCAATCAAAATTATTTAAAACATCAGCAAACTTTTGTTTAAATAGTTATCCAGTAGTTACTATTGATCATGTTATCCATATATCACCCAGGGACAGTGATTTTCTGTGTTTTACATAATACTACAGAATTCACATAATTATAGTCAAATCACATAATTACAGCATTATCACCACAGAACCTCACATAATTTAAAGATTTCAAGAAATCTGCACAGAATTTGCGATTTTACCTGTAGTGTTACTATTATATCCCCAAAATAAGAAAGATTAGATATAATTTCTATATACTGTATATACGTATGTACATATATACTATAGTATAATCCCAACATTAATTTTTAAATACTAACCCAAAAAGTAAGGTAATATAATTCATAGTCATATTAAATTCGAAGAAAGTAATAATACTAAAACAGGTGTAATTAAATTAAGGCCGTGTAAAAAGAATATAAAAATGTTAAGTTATTTAAAAAATTCATGTGAAAAAGAAGATAAAAAGAACGAATAAATAAAGTACAATAGTAATTTGATAAAATTTATATTTTGTTAAAATATAAAAGCAATGTTAATAATAGAATAAGTAATTATAATGATGTTTAAAAAAAAAAGTGTTATGATTTTTACTCAACTTCAAGAACATCTGATGTATTAATCTGTGAATACTGTAATGAACCTGTAAAATGGAAATCAAAATCAACAGTTGATAGTCATTGTAATAGCAAAAAGCATCAATCAAATAAAAATAAATTTGAAGCACAAGAATGTGCTAAAAAGCAAATATCTATAAGAGAAAGTTTAAATGCAGTGGATATTAAAAATAAAATTATAGAAGATTTAATTGAAATATTTGCTGTTGCTGATATTCTACTGGAAAAAGTAGACCATTTGATTTCATTTTTTAGAAAACATCTAAAGTATAGTAGAACAATTCCCCAATTTTCAACTTTAAGACAAACTTATTTGTCATGCATTTTTGAAAAACATCAAAATAATTTTAAATCTTTTTTTAATAACAAACCTGTTGCTATTATTATGGATGAAACAACAGATAGTTGTGCTCGTAGTGTAGTAAATACACTTTTTGTATTTCATAATTTCACTAAACTGGTTTTAGTTAATTTTTTTAAACATGTTAATAATGCAATGATAGGCCAAACTTTAATCTCTATTCTTTCAAATTATAATATTTTATATAATATTATATGCCTTTTTTCATCTAATTTGGCAATATATATGAAAAAATGTTACAAGGAAGTGCTGGCGCTATTGATGCTGCAACTTATTCACTCGCCTTACTATGTCCACATTCTTAATTTAGTCAAGTAATATTATTTATTTCTTAAAATATAATAAAATATAAATTATAGTACAATATAATTATATACTAAATTTAAATTATTTATAGTAATATGTGGAGAATATTCAAAGATTTTTCTCTTTTGACAATTTTTTTAGCAAAAGTTAAGGATGTATTTGCTAAATCGCCTGTATGAAGAGGTCAATATATAACTTATTTAAAAATGCATAGTATTATTAATCCATCCAAAATTCCTCTTCCAAATGCAACAAGGTAAAATTTATAGTTTTGAATAGTTTTTTACTCAAAAGCTTATATTGAGTATTGGCCTGGATTTTTTTTTCACAAATTAATATTAGACAAAATCATAAAACTTTATTGGAAATTAATTTATATTTACAAAATCCAACAAATTTTGGAATAATTAAAATTTATATTAATTTTATTTCTATTTTTGCTCAAGAATTCATTCAAGATTTAGATTTTTTTCAATAACAAGCTCGGTCTATATTTCCTTTTGTAGAAAACCAATTAGAGCAACTTACTGCATATCTTGAATCAAATTGGCATACACAATACTTTGATCAAGAATTGGAAAACCTTATTATAGATCTTCAATTTAATTCATTAGATTTTTATGTTATCTTTTGTAATATATTTCAAATAGTATACGATAAATTCTCAGTACATATTCCACACTATCCAGCTTGCAAGTTATTTTAAGCATCTCATGTATTTGATCCTGCTTATTTTCTTGTCAATGATATTTCAAGAAAAGATATTCATTATTATTATACTATTAAAGAACTTAAGAATCTATCAGATACTTTAATTCATGAATGGACAATTTATTGTAGTTTGCCATTTCAAGAAATAGAACTAGATGTTTTTTGGTCCAATTTACATTCATGGCTCCAATTTTATCAAACATTGCACTTAATTATATTTGATTACTCATTTCAAGCTGCAGTGTTAAATGCAGTTTTTCATTATATAATTCACTTTTAGATAAAAATAGACAAAACTTGTCTAAAGAATCATTGAAAAATTTAGCAATGTTATATTTTAACGGAATTTAATAAAATTTTATTACATATTAATTTGTTCATACATTATCATATAGTTTCACATCTAGTATTACATAATCGCACATAATTGGCTATTTTGTATCACATAATTGCATATTATTCTCTAAAAATCGATCAATTTAATTTTTGGCACCATATAATTTGCAATTTTGCACTACAGAAAATCACTGTCCCTGCTTAAATTAAGCTTTTTTAAAGTTGCTCTTAAGCCTGTTTAATAATGTGGCATAATAAATAAGAAATAATTAAATTTTAAACTTGTTTAATCAGGTTAATAGACAATATTTAATTTCTTTGTCATTAAGACCAATTTGACCAATTTGACCATGGTCAAATTGGTCGAATTGATCTGATTGGTTTGTGTAACTATGTCATTTGACCAATTTGACCAGACCAAAGATCATTTGACCAATGACTAGTAAATTTATTATTGACCATAAATTTAAACAACACTAAATACTATATATTTAGTTTTGATTAGGGTTGTTGGTTTATTATAATTTTAAAATTTTTTGATAAATTTACCAGGCTGTTTGGTAAATTACCAGTAAATTTATTATTAGCTGTTAGTTATTCTTAAGAAGGTTTATGTAATATAAAATCATGTGATTTGATGATTAAAAAAATTTTTTTGCCCAATCAAATTACATAGACAAATTTAATTTTTAAGTATATATATAAAAGTAAATTTACCGCACTTTTGGTAAAATTATGATAAATTTACCACCTGCAACCCTGGTTTTGGTTAACCTGCGATCGTTTGATGTCCGATTTAGTCTCAAGTATTTGATTGTGTCGAGCAGATGCATTCCGACCAGGAATTTTGAGGATTGGCATGTAAAATGAGTGATTACTGAGTGGCAACTAATTATTGTATTGATTAAGCCGAAATATAAAAATCAGCTTAGCCAGCTATGCAGAGTCGATTGACTTTAGAAAAAACCAATTTTTGTATTAATTTACTATATAAATACTAAAAATAGAAATTCCGCACGTCGCGAATAATATATTACAAACCGAATATATTTTTTATTCGTAAAAAAGTATCTGACTTACAATATCAGAGCAAATTAATACAGAAATATATTAATAATAAAAAGTTAATTACTTAAAAAATATAATTACAATACTATAAGTCTATAAGTATTTAATTAAAGAAAATCAAGCATTAATTCATTTAATTCTAAAAGATGCTCATTATATAATTTTCTATTTGCTGATGGGCTATCTCGTCTGTTAGTCGCCGTTAATTGTTGCGCATCTAATGTTGGATCGATCTTATGCATAATTTCCAACATAGTCTTGTACTCGTCAAATGAAAAGATAGCCCCTTGCTCTCTAATTTGCGCAAGCACATTCTAATGATATTTATTAAGAATAATTGTGGCAATATGCTTAGTACAATTACTTATTAATCCACGAATTAACGAATATAAATACTTACTGTTGGACCAGTATTATATAATTCATAGTATATTCTTGCCTTGTCCAAAGAAATTTCGCCAGGCATATCAACAATATTTTTCAAATTTTGTTGTAATGCAAGGATATTACGTGACATTTTCGTAATACCATTGCTATTTAAATTCCTAATATATGTAGCATTAGAAACTAAAACATGTTCCATAAGTGCATCCAGACCTTCAAATACAAATCTTTAATTTCGTTGGTTAGAACTAATTAGATATAGTTATAGTTATTTAATTAATGCAAAATCTGTTTTTTACCTGTGTTCTTTTAATGGCAGATTAGAAGATATACTTTCTTCAAATTTTACCATGTCCGTATTTAATATTAAGACGTGTGGATCTGGCTCATAAGCTTCATAGTCAAGTTGATAATTTCCCTGTTAAAATAATTGTTTTAGGATACAACGAACCTAATTGCATAAAATTGATTTATACAATTAAATACCTCACGCATTGCCAAATCTATATAATGCATAATATGACAACGAAGTTCAACTCTCAATGTGAATAGACACTGTTCCGCTAATTGTTGAAATGTTGCTAATAAGGCATCGAAACGACTATATTGAATGATTCAATAAGATTTTATGAGACATTCAATTAAACAAAATAACAAATTAATGCATGTAAATACGTACTTAGTCATTTCATCTGTCAGTGATAAACCGGTATTTTGGTCTTCATCCTTCTTTTTTTCATCATCTTTAGGTTCAAGGTTAGGGTTAATTTCACCAAATTGCGACCACCTCCGATTTCTTTTCGCCTGTAACATATTATTATTTATAATCCCATGATATGCAACTCTAGAATAAATTATGATGAATACTTACCAATTTGCCATCATCCATTTTTGTGGTATCATCTGTTTTTGTAGCTGTCAAATTAGTAGGTTTACTGCCTTTCCCACGTAGTTCCCAAATTTTGGCAACAAACCATTTCTATAGAAAGCATAGAATAAGAAATTACAAAATAAATTATACCCTAAAATTAATTCAATCTTTACCAAGCTGTGATATAAAGCTCCCAAAGCAGTCATCTTTTTGTTTTCCATTATCAATTCTCCTGTGCGAATATATCGTTTCTTCTTAAGATGCATCTCGACTTTTGTTTCCTAAATACCAAATATATATATTATATATATAACATATAAGACGACGACATAATAAACCTTAATCATACTTTATCACATAGCAATTTACGCCTTCGACGGCTTTTGACAGTATCATCATCAAGATATGGATACTGTCCTAAAATTTCAGATAATTGATCTTGCTGTACCCAAGTAGCACTAATTCCTTGGTGATTTCCGGTACCTCTCGAATCTGCTTCGCCCGAGTTTTTTGAAACAATAGCTATATGATAATACGTAGAAATTGTATTTTTTAAAAAAACTGAATCTTAAAAGGATAATTTATAACACATTTAATATATATTACCTTGATATCGTTCAAAACATTTTACGTAATAACGTGTGAGTAAAGATATAATCATTTTGCTAAATTCTTCTTTATGGCTTGCCATAGTTTGAAGCATAACGCATAAGCGCTCAACAATTATCATCAATGATGCCGCACTCTATAATTAATTGTAATTATTTTGTTAATAGTGGCCTACCAATTTATATCAGTGTTGTACATTTTTATTGTCCAAAAATTTTTGAGTGAAGTTTTTTTTTTGATAACTATCTGATCAAATTTAATGAAATTTTTTTTATTTTAATTCTATATATTTGTAGAATTAAAATAAAAAATTTAATTGAATTTGGACAGGTAGTTATTAAGAAAACTTCACTCAAAAATCTTTGAACAATGAAAATTTACAACACTGATTTATATATAGTTACAAAATAGATAATATAAGACCTTGACTACAGGGAGAGTTGTGTAACTCTTATAGTTTGGATCTTCTTGAAAAGCATCAGCTTCTAATGACGAATAAAACATTAAACAATCATATTATATAATAAGATAGAAGCCAACTAATTCATATATACTTACCAGATGTGGCTTTATGAAAAAATTCAAAAATTTTATCTCCAATTTGAGGCAAAAACACATTGGAGACAAAATCATCAAGAAAAGTAGTGAAATCTTCCGATGATCGATGATCGCTGTTATAAATACATAAATACATTCAAATAAATAAGAAATATAGCAATGATCTGTAAGCAAATATATTTAAAATTAACCTAGGAGGTAACATTGTTTTAACTTTTTCCAAAAAGGCTGATGTGGGTTTAAACAAAACAGAAACATTAAAAGCGTCCGGATTAACTACAAGACGATGTCCAGCAGTTATATTCGTATTTGCAAATCGATCTATAACAAATACTGAAAGTTGTCTTTCATCTGGAGCTTTAGAGAACGTCTCTGGAAGAGATTTTTGAAGCGTCATTTTAATGTCTGTTTCATATTGCTGATCAAAGGCAGCGTACGAATTCAGATCAGCGTCTCCAAATTTAAATAATTGCTAAATAAATAAATTTGATATTGAATATCTTAATTTATCAATAAACGGATTCCACGAATTCAGAAGATAAGCTATAAGTTATAATAAATACTTTAGAAGAGTCACGAGATTTCTTCTCTTTCATAAGATCCTGAAGTATTGCGTCTGGAGCATCTATGGACGCAGAATCTCTTTCATCATCTGTGATATAATCACGTAGAAGTGTACGAATCTGTGTGTACGCAGATATTAAGATAAACCAAGCTAAGATAATCAAGGCTAAATGCAAATTATAAAGAATAAATCATGCCTCGCTTTGAATCGGCTTCCATATCTCGGAGAATGGGTATAGTTTGATCTGTGATCCTACAATATAAAATATTATTTATTAACCAGCAAAATATAATAGTAATATAGTAACAGATACACATTGGATTACCTGTTGACTTGTTAAACTCCGGCCTCTGTTTATTATATTAATGATTTTTACGATTAATGTTTTTTTTTTTTGTCTAAAGTAGTGAACTAACCTTGTTTATTCTTTCAACAACATCAAGAATAAATCGATGTCCTTGTAAAACAGCATCTAGTTTTGAATAAAGAGTCCATAGAAGATCTCTCAATGCCTCCAATTGCGCGTCATTTTCAGGAGATTCAAGGGAAAAAACATCAGTCATATCATATTTATTCGCTAGCGTTACAAATGAATTTGCATTCCTTTGAATATATAGAAAACGAAAGTTTTTATGAATATACAATTTTTAGAAAGTATATATTTTTTTTTTTAAAAAAAAAAAAAAAATAGAAAGACAGAAATACCTTTCTTCGACCTCTGCAACTGTTTTATCAACTAGTTGGTACAATTCAATTGGTATTCTTTGAGTAATTGTCTATTAAAAGATATATATTGATATAATTATTTGATATTCTCGAAATAAATAAGATGCAAATCATATAAAGAAGAATACCTCAAGTGCCTGAGGTAATCTTTTTAAAACTGCGAGAGACTCTATTAAAATTTCCATGTAATAAAATGAATCTGTTTCTGGATTGATATCTAGATTTTCTGTTATCTATGAATAAAAGTTGATGTAATTACAATTAGATAATTCCAAAATTGTATGGTAAATTCCAGAAGAATAAAATACAATCTCCTTACAATCTCATCATCTTCATCTTTAATATTGATAAAGGGCTTTGGCGACCTTGGGCTCATAATAACCCCAGAAGAACCAGTAGTATTAACTACAAATTTTTAACAATATAAATTCATTAATTCAAGTCTAAAATAAAATATCGAATTTAAATTGATCTTACCATATAAATTTTTCTTATTTTTTGCTCCTATATAATTCATTTTACGGTTATCGCGTCCAGAATTCCATTCCATTAGCGGTGAAGGCACTAAAACAAAGTCCATGAAATCACCAGTAAATATAGTATTATAAATTTTGGTAAATAATAATCAAAATAGCTCACATTCTTTCTGATCCTTCGTATATTTAACCCAACGACTATCGCAGTATGAGCTTTTCAAATATAAATGATTATGTAATTCCTCAATCAAATGTTCGTGAAGGGACTAATAGAAATAAAAAGATTACCCTAATTTATATTTATATAGATATATATATATATAAATTAAGTGCTTACACTCTGTTGCGCCTTGAAATATCGTCGCAAGTCAGATAATGCACTAATTCCAATCATTTCTTTTTTTTCCAACATTCGTGTGGATTCCAAAAGTAAATTTGAAGCAGTTAAAAAATGTTTTTCTCTTAATAACCCTTCTAATTTTTCAGGGGCACCCTTGAAATCCTCTCTAATATATATATATATATATATAATAAAAAGGAATCTAAGCAAAATAACGTAGAAATATACATTGAATTATTATAAATTGACATACATTAAATCTAATATACGAATCATCTCTTTATATTGTTGGCTTCGGAACCATAATTGAAGTAAATCAGATCTTTTTGATAACAAAGCCTCTTTACATGCTTTAAGTTGTGATTTCATCTCTCTCACTCTTTCCTGAGAATCTAAATTTATTTATGTTAGAAGATCAAATTGTTAAGTAGTAATTAAGATTAAAATTTAAATCACCAAACATACCCCCAATATTCTTCATAACGCCGCCAAATGTACCAATTGAACTATTGAACCCGTGATAATAATCTAAATAATAAAGCATTAGGTAGAAGTTAAAAAACGGAATTGATTTTAAGGATAAAATTAAACATGATTCTTGATACCATTAACAATAAATTGAAGCGCTCTGTCAAGGCTTGCTTTTGTTTGTTGAAAAGCCTTATAGTCTTTCCCAAGTGAACTATCATCCAGTAATTGTAGCGCAAGAGATACAGGGTTAAACTTGATACATCATTTGTTAAATATATACGATGGACTGTTATTTGACAAATCAGTATTTATTTGTATTAAGAACAGAAATTTTTTAGTTGATGACTTACGTTTTCAGAATTCATAAAATCCCACTTCTCATTAATTTGACGCATAACAGCTTTTTTTTATTGAGAAAAAATTGTTTTTAGAAGCTATTCAATAGAAAGGAATAAAAGGAATAAAAAGGAAGGTTAAGCTACCTTCCATTTCTCGAAAACTGTCAACCGGGACAGAATTAATCTGAGTATTTTGGGAGTAAGAATTTTTCCAATCGAATTCATCATCATAATTACCACCAGAATAGTTTACACCATAATCACCGCCAAAGTAATTAGCACCAGGATAATTTGCCATTTCGCAAAATTGCCGAATACATCAAATATGTGACTAGAAATTCGATTGACACTCTAAGTAACGAGGAGGCATTCTAAGTTACACGAAAATATTGTCGATTACTTATCGTTATGGTTTAGTACGTATGCAAGTATATCGATGATGCTGTAAAAAGGGAACTGCACTTATGGTCAAAAGTAGGGATGGTTAGGTTGGTTTAGGTTTGGTTTGGAACCTTTAGGTTCCATTTCAAAAACCTAAGAACCTGGTTTTTAAAAAGTTCCAAAACCTGGTTCCAAAACCTTGGTTCTTTTAAAATATAATTTAAAATATAAAATTAATTTATATTTTGCATTGATATAATAAGTTATTAATTGGCTTCTTTTTTTTTTTTTTAACTTTGGCAATCCTGCCTTTATTGTACAAGGAATCCGTATAAAAAATACAAAAGTTTTAAGCTACAGCTTCTAACCCTTCCTTTTCTTTAATAAAACCTGGCAGCTCTAAGATGCCCAGATGCAATCCGCTGCAGCAACTCTTTTTTTTACTTCTGGCTTTCAACTTATCTGAAAGATTTCCCATTAGATCCTTGGATGGTAGTTACTAGCCTTGTCAGGATTGCCATTTTTTCTTTTTCAAAAGGATAGTAAAAAAAAAAGAAAAATATAAAAACAAGCAAACAAATAGAAAAACATGAAAAAAAAAAAAACAATCCCAACAGCACTGAATTAGCTTGTGTAAAGCTTAAAAAAATTATATACTACTTTTAAATCAAGTTTTACTTTAAGTTTAGTACGTAGTATATGTAATATTAATACAAAAAAAAGACTGTAATCTCCAAATCAACATTTGTTTTCTTTTTACATGTAATTCTATACATAAGCTACACATGATTGTTTTGTAATTCCTGTAGTGGTATACAATATAAATTGTTTGGAGGGAGTATGCTAGATTTCTTACTTTTTGGTGAAAATTCTTAAAAAAATTTCAAAATATAGCAGAGGTAATATAGAAAAAGAGATAAAAACATGTATTTGTAAAATTTTTAAGGAATGTTGAGAAAAAGATAATAAAATCTTTGTTGTTTCCCTTTGTCTTCATTGAAAACTGTCTAAAGAGCTTTATTAATGGAAAAAAGACCTTATTTTTTTACTTAAATTTTTTATACAAGGAGACCACTTTTTGCTAGTTATCTTGTATAATAACACTTTTGGCTTGCATGTCAAATATATAGAGGAGTCCCCAAGAGAGTAACAGGTTGACTTTTATAAAAACTGCTACTTTAGAACCTACTACTGTGTTTCTAACAAATATATTGTTTTTTGTTAGTAGGAAAATTTTAGTACAAGTGATTATTGGTGAAAGTTTTGCTTTTAATTATTAATTAGTAATTTTTTTTTAATTCTTTGACAGTCTTGTTAAAGCTCAAATACAAACTATTAGACTAAAAACAAAGTTTAAAGCTATTTCTAAAAATAACTAATTTAAAATTGCAAACCCAACATCACCTGGCTATATGTATATTATATGCCCAGATATGACTTGTTGTACCAACCTACATGTGAGTTAGAAAACATTGTTAGCTCTATCAAGAACTAAACCAAAATAGGTTTAATTTACTCTCAATTCATTTTACAACACTAGTGTTCCTATTGAACCTAGGTTCAAAGTTCATGAACATGTTCAAAGTTTTGAATAAAGAAAAAAGCATATAATC